AATGTATCATGTTAGTAAAATCGTTTTCTATTTTGAAACATCTTTTTCAACTGAATGTTGAGTCCTATAGTAAAATTTATTAAGAAATATATTCTTGAAACAGTGAATATGAAAACGTGCGCACAAAGGGCTTAAAAACGCTATTGTATGAGTTTGCCATATTTCTCTGGTAGATATAATACTCACAATAAATATTTTAAAATATCTTTTTAAAAATTCTGCCAAGAAAGATATCTTACCGGTTTAGATAAAACAAGATCAAATTGCGTTTTGTTAAATATTGTTATGGAACTCATCGACTACCAGTAGTCTCAGTTTTGTATAAACAACGTGAAAGAATCATGAGACCTTGTTCATTTTGTGACATACGATCAATTAGTGATGATTTTAATATCTATTTAATTTGTCCCTTCTTTGTTAAAGAAAGAACAATCAAACTTTTAAAAAGACTACACTGAACGACCAAATACTCTTGAAATAAATTATCTCTTTAAACGATTACAAAAATCGCTCCGTCCTTATACAAATCTGTAGGAAAATAAATATTCGCTTATAAACTATTTTCTAAAGTCCATATTCGAAGCACTTTATTTTGAACCCATTAAAATTAAAGTTTCTTTGCAATATAACAGCAAATTATGTTCATGCCATTATTCACCTTGTTTTTAATATTTTAGATTTATTTGGTTAACTGATGCTGTTTTGATAAATTATATTTATTTGTTTGTTTATTAAACTTGTTCTTGATTCATTCATTATTTCAATTATTCATAAATTCTTTATTAATTTTAAACAATTTCTAACATAGTTAACGAAATTGTATGTATGTTAATATTGTGACTAGGAACAGTGACCTACCATTATTAATGAACTGAAAAATAAAAATAATATCATCTTGCGTATATTGTTGTCACAAAACTGAAAGAACTATGAGGAATAATTAAAATACGCCAAGTGCATCGACTTCCTTCTCCCATCCGATTCGCTGTGATGATACAGATCAGGTAAGAAGCTACGATGCGAATGACAATTATTCTTTTACTATTATTTTTTGAGGACGTAAATAATGAATGTCATCCACTGAAAAATCCTAATTAGATCCACTATCCACCATAACGTACTGCACTGAAAAACACTGTTCGTTCTTACATGACATTCCTTTTTATTTCAACCCACAAGGAAGTCTCCTCGCCCCCATCATATTTTCCTTGATCAATAACGATGTATTTGAATGTCTTGATCCATCGTGCCGTAATTATCTGTGTCATTCGCGACAATGTGCATGTTACCTTTTAATAATATCTCCAAATATCTCCCAATAAAGCCACAATCAACGAATCCATTATAATGGAAAGTAAACTCATCCGAATTTCCTTAAATGTATACACAGATCGTGAGCTAATATTGAACAGGGAAAAGGGCACCGCGTATTGTCAAAGGGCACATATATCCTTGATTTATATTTTTTGTTTTAAACCTTCCAAGTAACCGAAAAAAATACGTTGGTTACCCTGCATAATGATCACTTCTTTTTTAAAACAGTGTACGTCTTACTTGCCTCTACCCACTCATGTTACAGATGGGGATTTTGATAGATGTGGACCCAAAAGGTAATGCTAGTTGTCTGAATATAATTCCCTCAAAACTAAACACCACAATTATTTTTACAAAGTGCCTAAGTTAACGACTGGAATCTGTTTAATGAAAACATTCAAGATGCGCTTTCCTTGGATAAGTATATGTTTAAGAAACCAGAATTCAATTTTGCATTATCCAACGCTGTTTTAATATCTTTTCCCATAAGTTGATGAATATATTGATATCTGTACTTCTGGCCTTGTATTTTGTTTAAGATTCACTTTAGAATTTCGGTCTGTAAGTACTCACTATTGTATTGTAAATTTTCGAAAGTATTAGTTTATTGAAAATATACAAACTGTCTGTTACTAGCAGATTAGTTCCATAATTTTAATAATTCAGTGCTGTACATTTTTATGTCTTACAGACCCATAGTATGAATCATTCCTCTACTAATGTTGGTTGTTTTCTTAAAATACGTTTTAAGTAAATAAGTAGAAATACATAGAAGATATATAAATATATATGAAAGAGTGAATAAATAACAAATTAGTTAATCAATTATTAATCAAATCTATTAACCTCATGATTTGTTACATAAAAAACTAAAACACTATGTTGGTACAAGTTGAAGGAATTGCAAAAAAAGAGGAAAATATCTTCCTAATATTCCCTAAATACCTATGGAGTTACAACTCCTTCCCGTACAATTTTGATCTAAAATAGTGGTAATTCTTTGAAGATATTTGTTTATTGTGAGTATATCACGAATGGAAAAAGCCTCACAGCAATCGATAAATGATTTGGGCCTGTTTTAATACTAAACGACGTACCAACTAAGAACAAACCTTGAAAAAACACTCTGTATTACCTTTAAACGGAATTCTTTGTAATCAGATCGAGACACGCTCGAGCGGTCTGCGACGACGGCATAGGATTCTCTTGAAAGCCTCTTGAAAGTTAGGATGCTTCATACCATAAATGATCGGATTGACCACGCTGTTCGCCATCAATATCATGTAGCCATAGAGGGTGAATCGGCTTACACCGGGAATGAAGAAGTTCACGCTTGACCCTACAAAGCAAACCATGAAGAGACAGACAACCGTGAAAACATTCTTTGTGATCTCGATCTCCTTTTGGTTGATGGCTTTGATCATGGGTGGACGAGAATCTTGAGATGTAGATGAGGAAGCCTTATTCAGTTGTGTCTCTGCTGAGCGTGAATCGGAAGCTTTATCATCTGCAAACTTGTCTCGGAACTGCTTATTATGTTGCAAAACGTGGCGCAATATCAGTCCGTAAAACACCAAGGTGAGTATCAGGGCAGAAATGATGACAGCGCCCTGAAAGATGAAATTAACAAAGACCAGTGGATTTGTTTCGGACAAACTGCATATGCCGTAGTATCTGAAATAACCGAGAGTCCCGACTCCAAGAACAGGAGGTATGATCATGAGTGCAATTGACACCATCCAGATGATCAGCACGACTATCGCAATATTCCTCGGAGTATTGAGACCTTGATGACCACGAATAGATCTGGTGATGACGTACCAGCGGACGAAACCGATAGCGACTAAAGTAAATGCGCTACAGCATACGCTGGTGAACCCAACCCCAGCCACAATAGCACAGACGATCTCGGGAATCGGGTACCTTCCCGTTTGACTTAGGATACCGGCGATCTGGAACGGTAAGACGAAACACGTCAAATTGTCAGCGAAAGCGAGATTGATCACCAAGATGTTGGTGACCGTGCGAAGCTTCTTCGTGGTGATGACGGAGACGATAACAAGAGTATTGCCAAAGAGACCAATAATCGCAAATCCTGCTAGGACTGATGCAACGATAACTCGATGATGGAAAGCTATAGTTGGCGCTTCTACAGGAGATTGTGGGCTCGCTTCCATCATTGGCGAATTGAAATATACTTTTACGTCATCAAATCAATGTGTCTATCTGTTTTTTAGATGACTTTGCGCTTTAACACTTTGTATTAGCTTGATGGCTGATGGTGTTAGTTTGTAAGTGAACACAATATCGAAGGCGTTTTCTAGTGATAGATGCCACTCGGACATTGGTGGGAATCGCAGAAAATGTACGTGATCAGTAGCCGATACTACAACTGGGAATTGCAGTTGATCAAATCAGCATTTATATTATCTCTATCCTTTTTGCCACATTGGTAATCATGTGCGAAAAGCTATTGACTTTTTGAAGATGATAGATTCTGAATGCCATTCTACTTTTCAATTAAATCTAAATCAGTTGTTACCAACTGCTCGGTTTTATGACTTTTCAAGATTGACAGCCATGATTCAATGATATCACAGAAGGATGAATCTGCGACCGGAAATATATTGTGTGTCGGGTTCATCAGATTTAAATTTCGGAGCTTCATTGAACTTGAACCGAGCCATTAGCAAACATACACATAGCCTACATAGTGGCGCAGTAAGAAGAGATGCGAAGGAAACGGAAGGGGAAAAAAGAAAGTTACGACCCCCTCCTACTCCCTCTCGCCAATTAATGGCTTTTAAATTTTTCATTTCATCCACCGAGTAGTGTCGTTCCCCCCGACACACACACACACACACACACACACACATACCCTACATACATACAGTATTAGTGCCCCCACAATGTCTAGACGCGCGCCATGCCCCAACAGAAACCATTGAAATTCAACATCATGTGCTGTGCCTTTTTTTCTTATTCAATCGCGATTCAGATCAAAATATTTATGTCTCCGAATCAAACCATCGTGTATTCAATAAAAGAAGATCTTCGTGGATTGGGAAATTATGCCTGATTCAGGAAGTAGTATATTATATTTGTAAAGTCATTTTTCCCTTTCTAACATACCTTCTCTTTCAACTGAATGTTCAGTTCTGTAGTAAAAAAATATCAAAGTCATTGTATTGACTCACTTAACATGAAAACGTGCGCACCGAGGGCTTTACAAACCTATTGTATGAGATGAACATTTTCCTTCGGCACACATACACAGAATGTATGAATTATAGAATATTTAAAGATATTCTTTGACAACAAAGTTACCATTTTGTTTGTTTATTTATTTTAGGGAACTTATTTATTGAGTTATCTATGAAATCATGAATCTATTAATCATAAATTCTTTATTAATTCCTTTATTCAATCCTCTTTATCTTTACCCTATTATTATTATTATTATTATTTATTATAAATACTAGCCATTTTTGCCTTTTTCTTATTAGATCTAAAATAGTGGTATTTCTTAAAAGATTTTTTGTTAATTGTGAGTATATCACGAATGGAAAGGGCCTCACAGCAATCGATTAATGATTTAGGCCTATTTTACTACTAAATGACGTACGAAATAAGAACAGACCTTGACAAACACTCTCTGTATTACTTTTAATCGCAATTCTTTGTGATCAGTTTGAGACACGCTCGAGCGGTCTGTGACGACGGCATAGGATACTCTTGAAAGCCTCTTGAAAGTTAGGATGCTTCAGACCATAGATGATCGGATTAACCACGCTGTTCGCCATCATGATCATGACGCCATAGAGGGTGGACAGGCCTGCCCCGGTGTCTATGGAGTTTACGCCTTGTGCTACAAAGCAAATCATGAAGATGCAGACAACAATGAATACATTCTTTGTTATCTCGATCTCCTTTTGGTTGATGGCTTTGATCATGGGTTGACTAGAATCTTGAGATGTAGATGAAGAAGCATTTTTCTTTTGTGCCTCTGCTGAGCTTGAACCGGTAGCTTTATCATCTGCAAACTTGTCTCGGAACTGCTTATTATGTTGCAAAACGTGTCGCAAGATCAGTCCGTAAAACACCAAGGTGAGTATCAGGGCAGTAATGATGACAGCGCCCTGAAAGATGAAATTAACGAAGGCCAGTGGGTTTGTTTCGGACAAACTGCATAAGCCGTAGTATCTGTAATAACCGAAAGTTCCTACTCCTAGAGCAGGAGGTATGATCATGAGTGCAATTGACTCCATCCAGATAATGAGCACGACTTTCGCAATATTCCTCGGGGTATTGAGACCTTGATGACCACGAATAGATCTGGTGATGACGTACCAGCGGACGAAACCGATAGCGACTAAATTAGATACACTACAGCATACGCTGGTCGCCGTTACTCCAGCCACAATTGCACAGATGAACTCGGGAATCGGGTACCTTCCCGTTTGACTTAGGAGGCCGGCGATCTGGAATGCTAAGCTAAAACATGTCAAAATGTCAGCGAAAGCGAGATTGACAACCAACATGTTGGTGACGGTACGAAGCTTTTTCGTAGTGATGACGGAGAAGATAACAAGAGCATTGCCAAAGAGGCCGACAATTGTTAATACCGCTAGGACTGATGCAACGATAACTCGATGGAGGAAAGCTATAGTTGGCGCTTCTACAGGAGATTTTGTGCTTGCTTCCATCGTTGGCGAATTAAAATAAGACTTGTGGGATTTTGACGTTATTAATTCAATATATCCATCTGTTATTAGACGATTTTTGCGGTTTAAAACTTCTTATTAGCTTGATGGCTGATGGTGTTATCTTGGAGTTGTCCAAAATATTGAAGGCGTCTATTAGTGATAGATAGCGTAGTTTATGTCATTCGGACGTTAATGGGAATCGCAGAAAATGTACGTAATCAGTAGCCGATACAACAACTGTGAAATGCAGTTGATCAAGTCAGCATTTATATTATCTCTATTCTTTTTGCCACATTGAATATCATGAACTTTTTAAAACTCGTTGACTTTTTGAAGATGATAGATTCTTAATGTCATTCGAATTTTCAATTAAATCTAAATCAGTTGTTACAAACTGATCGATTTATGACGTTTCAAGATTGGTAGCCATGATTCAATGATATCACAGTAGGATGAATCTGCGACCGGTAATATATTGTGTCTCAGGTTCATTGCTTGTAAAGTTAGAGCTTCATAGAATCTCCACCGAGCCATTAGCAAACAATATACACAATAGGGGCGCAGAAACAAGAGGGGCAAAGGAAAGGGAAGGGAAGAGAAGATGCTTCGACCCCCTGCTACTCCCTCTCGCCAATTAATGGCTTTTAAAATGTGCATTTCATTCATCGAGTATTTTCTTTTCCTCATCCCTATGCTTAAAAATGCTTGTTTTCATCCTTTCATAAAGTTGGTACTTGCCCCCCCCCCCGATCTTGACATAAATGTAACATACTTCACCATGAAAATGATAGTATTACACATTTTTATTCTATATGAACTTCCTGCCAACCCAACAAATATATCTCGCCATTCTAAATCTTTAATTTCATCTATCTCAAAAAGTTGTACTAAAGCCTGCCATATCCTTTGAACGCTCCCGCAAGATAAAAATAAATGTTTGTATGTTTCTATTTCCTGCTTACAAAACGAACATAAATTATCACCAACAAAACCAAATCTATGAAGATGCTCATTAGTATATATGGCTCCATGCAATAATTTAATTTGAAATGCTCGTTGTTTTCTAATGAGTATAGTAATTTTTGGTCTAACAAATATTTCTTTTCATTCTTTATCTATAAAATCATAATCATTTTGCCCATCCCTTACCTGCAAATCATACGTTTGCTCTATAAAAATGAAATACACACACACACATGCACACACACGCACACCCACAACGGACACATACAGTTCCAGTGCCCCCACAAATTCTAGACCCCCGATATGCCACTACAGAAACCAGTGAAATCAAGCATCATGTAAAACTGTGCCATTATGATTGCAACTGGCATACACATTCCTTTATTCAGATAAAAGATCTTTATGTCTTCGTATCAAACCATCGTGTATTCGATAAAAAAGATCTGTTTGGGTTGTTCAATTTTTGCCTGATTCAGGTAGCAATATATTATATTTAAAAATCGTTTTCTTTTTCAAACATACATTCTTTTTCAACTGAATGTTCAGTTTTATAGCAACATTTTTCAAAGTCATTGTATTGAAACACTTTACATGAAAACGTGCGCCCCGATGGCTTTACAAACCTATTGTAAGAGTTGAACATTTTTCTTCGGCACACATAACCAGAATGTATAAATTATAGAATATTAAAAAACATTCTTTGCCAACAAAGTTACCTTACCGATTTAAATAACAAAGATCGATTTTCTCTTTATGGATCTGGTTGAGGAATTATTCGACTACCAGTGGTGTCAGGTAGATCTGAACCACGTGAAAGAAACATGAAACCTTATTCACTATGTGATATACATTCAATTGGTGGTGAATTTCAAGATTTATTAAATTATTATTATTTATTATTACATAAATACCTATATTAAGAACTATTACATCTACAAACATCAAAAGAGATGTATTTTTAATGCCTTTTTGAAGGTAAAAGGTGATGTAGACTGCCTAATTTTAAGTGGTAGATCATTCCAGTATTTTGAAACAGATACAGTAATTGTCCTATCACCGGCCAATGTGCGGTAACTGAATATGTGAGACAGAGAGGATCACTGGCTGATTTCAATGTCCTGACAGGTGTATATAAATTCGAACAGGTAAATAAATTAGTACCTTCTTTGCTGAAGGAATAAACCACGATCTTCAAAACAACTACACTGAACGGCTAGATACCCCTAACATGAATCCACTCTTTAAATGTACAAGAAAAGAAAAAACCTTGTAAAATAATGTAAAAGATTGTCCATTTTTTCTTTTAAACCCTTTTTTCTACATTCGAAACATTTCTACATTTTGAACCAATTACTAGTAAAGTACTTTCAACGATTAAACAAATCGCTCCGTCCTTATAAAAATCCGTAGGACAATTAACATTCGTTTTTAAATTATTTTTTAAAGGCCATAGTCGAAGCATTTTTCTTTTGAACCCATTATAAGTAAAGTTTCTTTGCAATATAACAGCAAATTATGTTCACGCCATTATTAACCTTGTTTTTAATATTTTTTATTTATTTGGTTGATTGATGCTGTTTTTTTAAATAATTTATTTGTTTATTTATTCATTTTGTTCATGATTCATTCATTTCTTCAATTATTCATGAATTCTTTATTAATTCATTCATTCAATCCTTTTGTCTCTCCCTTAAACTACAAAATCATTTAATAATAGACTGTTTGTCTATCTGCTTGTTTGACTTTATTTCATTTTTTTGTTTGTACATGTTCACTAATGATGTACTTCAAATTCTACGTAATTTATTTATTTATTTACAATAATATTTATTTGTACTTGTATATGTGATTGTATTCTCCAATACATTCATTATGGGTGACAGAAGAAAAAATTTCATTGTCATTATCAATGTCACTCGAGAGACGATATCCTATTATTTATTTTGTTTACCCGCTTTGGAAGTTCATGAACGAGTAACCTTCGAAGAGTTTAGTAACTACTATATATCCGGCTAAGATCTAGCCCAAAGTCCCTTATATAGGCATTTCGAAGTTTGATTATTAGTAGTCATTTGCATTATCAAAGGTTGTACTGTGGTGTGATGTTAGTGACTTATTTCATAACTTACACTTTGCAAACCTTCATAGTGACAAATAAGTGTAAAAACGTAAAACATGATGCATCTTAAAAAACAAATAATCTGAACAATTTCTGACATAGAAAAAGAAATTGTATGTATGTTGATATTGCGACTAGAAACAGTGACCTACCATTAACGATGAACTGAAGAAGAAAATTAATGTCATCTGGCGGTCATTTTTTTACAAAACTGAAAGAATTATGAGGTATAATTAAAATACGCCATGTGCATCGACTACCTTCTCCCATCCGATTCGCTGTGATAATGATACAGATGAGGTAAGAAGCTACGATGAGAATTACAATAATTCCTTTACTTTATTTTTAAGAGAACGTAAATAATGAATGTCATCCACTGAAAAATCCTAAAGATCCACTATCCTTTTTCATTGACTGCAGTGAAAAACATAATTCTCTCTTACATGACATTCCTTTATATTTCATTCCACAAGTAAGTTTCCTCAAAATCTCCAAATAAATCTAATCAAACGAATCAGTGAAAATTGAAGGTAAACTCATCCGACTATCTTTAAATGTATTCACTGACCGTGGGTTAATCACGGGGAAAAAGGCACTGCGTCTTAAGCTATGGTAACAACCCCATAAAGTAACCTGGTCGGCGGGCGGGCGGCGAGTTTTTAGCCAATTTTGCCCAGGCACCGAACGGCGGCCGCCCGAGCACCGCTTGTTTTTAAGGCATCGCTCGGTCGCTTAAAATTCGGCGGCGCTTGCTTACTTTTCACTCGACGCCCGAAATACGCTTGGTGACCGTGCGGTCGCCGACTAGGTACCGACCTAATCGGCGCTGGCCGTCGAGCGATATAGGTCAAAAATCGATGCCGCTGGGTCACCGGTCGGCCGCCGGGCAATTTCTTTAAAATCAGCCGGTGGTGATTCGGTAGGTAAACCAGTCCGTCACTGTCGGGACGCCGCACGGAGAAGCTTCCCGATTTTGCGCAGTTTTGACCTAAAATCGACCGGCGACCGACGAGAATTCGACAAGGCACTGCCCAGGCATCGAAGGGGCTCTACAACCTATTCGACTTCCCAAAAAATCCCAGCGGCGACCGAACAGGCTACAAATTGGTCGGTCGCCGCTCTGAGATGTGACCATAGCTTTAAGGTCACTAAACTTGCGAGCGCACATATAGCCTTGATTTGTATTTTGTTTTAAACCTTCCAATTTACAGAAAAATTACCTTTGTTACCCTGCATAATTATCACTTTTTATTTTTGGTTAATTAGTATCCGTCTTACTTGCCTCTGCCTGCTTATGTAACAGATGGGTATTTTAATAGATCTGGATCCAATTAGGCAATGCTAATTCTCTGAATGTAATTTCCTCAAAATTAAACACCACGGTCATTCTTACAAGACGCCTGACCTAATGACTAGAATTCATTACAGAATAACATTCAAGATGCGGTTTCCTTGGATAATTCAAATAAGTATATGTTTAATAAACCAAAATTTCATTTCGCATTATCCAACACTATTATAATATCTTTTCTCATAGGATGATTAATATATTGATACTTGTACTCCTTGCCTTGTATTTTGATTAGTATTCATTTTAGAATATGGGTTTGTAAGTAATAACTATTGTATCGTAATTTTTTGTTAGGATTTGTTTATTGTGAATATACAAACCTTCTGTTACTAGCGGATTGGTTTCACTATTCTAAATGGGCCACTATCGTCAATTTTTGTGTCTCACAGGACCATTATTATAAATCATTCCTCTACAAATTTTGTTGTGGTAAGAAGTGGTAATTCTTAGAAGATTTTTGTTAATTGTGAGTATATCACGAATAAAAAAGGCCTAACAGCAATCGATAAATGATTTAGGCTTATTCTAATACCAAATAAGAAAAGACCCTGACAAACACTCTGTATTACCTGCATTCTTAACACTATGTATTACCTGTAATCGGACTGTTTTGTAATCAGTTTGAGACACGCTCGAGCGGTCTGCGACGACGGCAAAGGATTCTCTTGAAAGCCTCTCGAAAGTTGGGATGCTTCAGACCATAGATGATCGGATTGACCACGCTGTTCGACATCGTGATCACGTAGCCATAGAGGGTGGACAGGCTTGCACCGGGAATTACGAAGTTCACGCTTGACCCTACATAGCAAATCATGAAGAGGCAGACAACAATGAATACATTCTTTGTGATCTCGATCTCCTTTTGGTTGATGGCTTTGATCATGGGTGGACTAGAATCTTGAGATGTAGATGAAGAAGCATTTTTCTTTTGTGCCTCTGCTGAGCTTGAACCGGTAGCTTTATCATCTGCAAACTTGTCTCGGAACTGCTTATTGTGTTGCAAAATGTGGCGCAAAATAAGTCCGTAAAACGTAAAGGTGAGTACCAGGGCTGTAATGATGACAGCGCTCTGAAACACGACATTAACGTAGGCCAATGGGTTTGTATCGGTCAAAGTACATAATCCGTAGTATTTGTAATAACCGAGAGTCCCGACCCCTAGAACAGGAGGTATGATCATGAGTGCAACTGACTCCATCCAGATGATCAGCACGACTTTCGCAATATTCTTCGGAGTATTGAGACCTTGTTGACCACGAATAGATCTGGTGATGACGTACCATCGGACGAAACCGATAGCGACTAAAGTAGATGCGCTACAGCATACGCTGGTGAACCCAACTCCACCCACAATTGCACAGACGATCTCGGGAATCGGGTACCTTCCCGTTTGACTTAGGAGACCGGCGATCTGGAACGGTAAGCTGGAACACGCCAAATTGTCAGCGAAAGCGAGATTGACCACCAAGATGTTGGTGACCGTACGAAGCTTCTTTGTGGTGATGACGGCGACGATGACAAGAGTATTGCCAAAGAGACCAATTATTGTAAAAACTGCTAGTACCGATGCAACGATAACTCGGTGATGGAAAGCTATAGTTGGTGCTTCTACAGGAGATTGTGGACTTGCTTCCATCGTTGGCGAATTGAAATAAGACTAATGGGATGTTTACGTTATCAAATCAATATGTCTATCTGTCTTGTAGGCGATTTTGGGCTTTAAAAATTCTTACTAGCTAGATGACTGATGGTGTTATTTTGTGAGTGTCCAAAAAATTGAAGGCGTCTTCCAGTGGTAGATAACACAGTTGATGTCATTCAGACATTGATATGAATCGCAAGAATGTAGGTGATCAGCAGCTGACACAGAAAATGGGAATTGCATCTGATGAAGTCAGCATTTATATTATTTTTATTATTTTTGCCACATCTATAATCATGACATTTTTAAAATTCGTTATGCGCCAAAAATTATTGACTTATCGTAGATAATAGATTCTGAATGACATTCTACGTTTCAATTAAATCTAAATCAGTTGTTGCCAACTGTTCGGTTCTATGATTTTTAAGATTTACTGCCATGAATTAAAGATCATGGTAGGATGAATCTGCGACCGAAAAGATATTGTGTGTGGGGTTAATTTGATGGAAAGTTAGAGCTTCATTAAACTTCCACCAAGCCATTATCAAACAATATGCACATATATAGTGGCGCAGAAACAAGAGAGGGGAAGGAAAAGGAGGGGAAAAGAAGATGTTATGACCCCCTCCTACTCCCTCTCGCCAATCAATGGCTTTTAAAATTTGCATCTCATCTACCGAGTAAGACTGGTGTCGTTCCCCCGACACCACACACACACACACACACGCACTCACGCCCCACAAAAATACAGTACCAGTGCCCCCACAATGTCTAGACCCGCGCTATGCCACTACAGAAACCAGTGAAATCAAGCATCATGTAAAGCTGTGCCATTATGATTACATCCGCAAGACATTTTTCTTTGTTCAATCGCGATTCAGATCAAAATATTTATGGCTTCGAATCAAACCATCGTGTGTTCAATAAAAAAGATCTATTTGGATTGGGAAATTATGCCTGATTCAGGTAGGAATATATTATATTTCTAAAATCGTTTTTCCCTTTCAAACATACTTTCTCTTTCAACTGAGTGTTCAGTTCTATAGTAAAATTTTTTCAAAGTCATTGTATTGAAACAGAGTAAACCGACCCCAAAGTTATAACTTTACTTATTCTGAGAGATTTATTATATTATTGCCCATAAATCTAAAAGATTCCCCACCAAAGTGTATTAGGGAGGTATAAAGCAGAAATAAAGTACAGTTTCTCAGCACGACATGGGCATCGCCATTTTCTTGATAATGTGACGTACTATGCGAAGTCGTTTATTAATTAAATGTACCACATTTATGGATGCTTCTTTCCCAGACGTGTGTAGTGATGAAGCATTTCATTCACCTGCTATTATTCTTTGTACTATAATTACCAGAACGCAAATTACATAAATAAGTTAGTGCACTTCTGGGGTGAAGGTTTCTCATAAATGAAATAGATTTGTCAACTGCTATAGTGTAGTATTTATAAATGAATTTTGTTACAATTGTGCTCCTATTATTTATTTTTCACCTAATATCATTTCTATCGTCTCAGTTATTTTTTTTTTTAGTGAAAAGTAAAGGTTTCGTTTTTGATTTAAAAATTCTTTCCAACTAAAGCTGGGTGCATGTTGCATGATACCTGTACAACTTCAACAGGTACGTCACATTTTAAGAAAATGGCTGCGCCTATATCATGCTGAAAGGTATCACATCATGCCAGGAATATCTTCATTAATACATATCTTGTACATTTTCGTAAGGAATAGTGTACATCAAAGGGCAGGAATACATCTCATTTTTCAGAATACCTACACTTATTCTTTGGGTTTAGGTTTCCTTTGAAAAAGTGCGCACCGAGGGCTTTACAAACCTATTTTTTGACTCGGAGTTGAACATTTTTCTTCGGCACACATACCCAGAATGTATGAATTATAGAATATTCAAAAACATTCTTTGCCAACAAAGTTACCTTACCGATTTCAATAAAAAAAGATCGACTTTCTCTTTATATATTTTGTTGAGGAATTCATCGACTACCAGTAGTCTTAGGTAGATCTGAACCTCGTGAAAGAAACATGAAACCTTATTCACTATGTGACATACTATCAATTGGTGATGAATTTCAAGGTTTATTCACTTAGTGCCTTCTTTGCTAAAGAAAGAACATACGATCTTCAAAACAACTACACTGAACGACTCTTTAAATGTACAAGAAGAGAAAAAAACACTAGAACACTCGTTCCCACCTTGGAAAATTATGTAAGAAAATTGTCCCTTTTCTTTTAAACCCATTTTCCGCATTCGCAGCATTTTATTTTAAACAAATTACTAATAAAGTTTCTGTGCAATATAACATTACTTGGACGCCATTGTTCTCCTTGTTTTAAATACTACAGAATTAGTTGTATCATTAATGCAGATGAAAACTTTTATGATACTTTTTTTTCTTTTTCAGACATTGGTTTTTGTTCATTTTTGGAAAGTAATTTATTGAGTTATCTATTCATTATGAATGTCTATATTAATTCATTCATCCAATCCTTTTTTCTTCAATTACCCGATCATATATTTAAAGCCTGTTTGCCTAGTTCTTATTTGATCGTTCCTATTGTGACAAAAGAAAAATCAATAAATTCCATGTGATTTGTCCTAAAGTGTTTAATTAATAATCGATTGAAAAAAATCGAAAGTGTATGATAACGATTGCATGAAGATCACCAAAGGTACAACTCCATCCTGTACAGTTTTGATCTAAAATAGTGGTATTTCTTAGAAATGTTTTGTTAATTGTAAGAATTTACGAATAAGAAAGGCCTTACAGCAATCGATAAATGATTTAGGCCTATGCTAATACTTAACGATGTACCAAATAAGAAAAGACCCTGACAAACACTCTGTATTACCTGCAATTGGAATTCTTTGTAATCAGTTTGAGACATGCTCGAGAGGTCTGCGACGACGGCAAAGGATTCTCTTGAAACCCTCTTGAAAGTTAGGATGCTTCAGACCATAAATGATCGGATTGACCACGCTGTTCGCCATCAAGATCATGTAGCCATATAAGGTGGACAGGCTTGCACCAGGAATTACGAAGTTCACGCTTGTCCCTACAAAGCAAATCATGAAGAGGCAGACAACAATGAAAACATTCTTTGTGATCTCGATCTCCTTTTGGTTGATGGCTTTGATCATGGGTGAACGAGAATCTTGGGATGTAGATGGAGATGCCATATTCTTTTGTGCCTCTGCTGAGCTAGAACCGGTAGCTTTATCATCTGCAAACTTGTCTCGGAACTGCTTATTATGTTGCAAAACGTGGCGCAAAATCAGTCCGTAAAACGTCAGGGTGAGTACCATGGCAGTAATGATGACCGTGCCCTGAAACATGACATACACGTAGGCCAGTGGATTTGAATCAGACAAAGTGCATAAGCCGTAGTATCTGTAATAACCGAAAGTCCCTACTCCTAGAGCAGGTGGTATGTTCATGAGTGCAAGTGACACCATCCAGATGATCAGCACGACTTTCGCAATGTTCTTCGGAGTATTGAGACCTTGATGACCACGTATAGATCTGGTGATGACGTACCAGCGGACGAAACCGATAGCGACTAAAGTAGATGCGCTACAGCATACACTGGTGAACCCAACTCCAGCCACAATTGCACAGATGATCTCGGGAATCGGGTACCTTGCCGTTTGACGTAGGAGACCGGCCATCTGGAATGGTAAGCTGGAACACGTCAAAATGTCAGCGACAGCGAGATTGACCACCAAGACGTTAGTGACCGTTCGAAGCTTTTTCGTGGTGATGACGGAGAAGATAACAAGAGCATTGCCAAAGAGGCCTATAATTGCTAATCCCGCTAGGACTGATGCAACGATAACTCGATGATGGAAAGCTATAGTTGGCGCTTCTACAGGAGATTGCGGACTTGCTTCCATCGTTGGCGAATTAAAATGAGACTTGTGGGATTTTGACGTTATTAATTCAATATGTCCATCTGTTATTGGACAATTTTTGCGGTTTAAAACTTCTTATTAGCTTGATGGCTGATGGTGTTATCTTGGAGTTGTCCAAAATATTGAAGGCGTCTTGTATTGATAGATTTAGTTGATGTCATTCGGACATTGATGGGAATCGCAGAAAATGTACGTGGTCAGTAGCCGATACAACAACTGGGAAATGCAGTTGATCAAGTCAGCATTTATATTATCTTTATTCTTTTTGCCACATTGATTATCATGAACTTTTTAAAACTCGTTGACTTTTTGAAGATGTAGATTCTAAATGTCATTCTACTTTTCAATTAAATCTAAATCAGTTGTTACCAACTGATCGATTAATGACTTTTTAAGATTGGTAGACATGATTCAATGATATCACAGTAGGATGAATCTGCGACCGGAAATATGTTGTGTGTCGGGTTCATTGCATGTAAAGTTAGAGCTTCATAGAATCTCCACCGAGCCATTAGCAAACAATATACACAATAGGGGCGCAGAAACAAGAGGGGCAAAGGAAAGGGAAGGGAAAAGAAGATGCTTCGACCCCCTGCTACTCCCTCTCGCCAATTAATGGCTTTTAAAATGTGCATTTTATTCATCGAGTAAGGCCGGTGTCGCCCCCCCCCCATCACCACTCATACATATACACACACGAACGCAAGTGGACACACACATACATACACACACACACACACGCGCGCGCACGCAAAAACACACATACTCACACACGCACACAGACACAACGCACACATACACTTCCAGTGCCCCCACTTATTCTAGACCCGCGCTATGCCACTACAGAAACCAGTGAAGTCAAGCATCATGTAAAACTGTGCCATTATGATTGCAACCGGCATACACATTCTTTTATTCAATCGCGATTCAGATAAAAACTCTTTATGTCTTCGTATCAAACCATCGTGTATTCAATAACAAGATCTCTTTGGGTTGTGAAATTCTTGCCTGATTCAGGTAGCAATATATTATATTTAAAAATCGTTTTCCCTTTCAAACTTACATTCTTTTTCAACTGAATGTTCAGTTCTATAGTAACATTTTTTAAAGTCATTGTATTGAAACACTTTACATGAAAACGTGCGCACCGATGGCTTTACAAGCCTATTGTATGAGTTGAACATTTTTCTTCGGCACATATAACCAGAATGTATAAATTATAGAATATTAAAAAAAATTCTTTGCCAACAAAGTTACTTTACCGATTTAAATAACAAAGATCGATTTTCTCTTTATGGATCTTGTTGAGGAATTATTCGACTACCAGTGGTCTCAGGTAGATCTGAACCACGTGAAAGAAACATGAAACCTTATTCACTATGTGACATACATTCAATTGGTGGTGAATTTCAAGATTTATTAAATTATTATTATTTATTATTACATAAATACCTATATTAAGAACTATTACATCTACAAACATCAAAAGAGATGTATTTTGTATGCCTTTCTGAAGGTAAAATGTAATGTAGACTGCCTAATTCTAAGTGGTAGATCATTCCAGTATTTTGAAGCAGATACAGTAATTGTCCTATCACCGGCCAATGTGCGGTAACTGAATATGTGAGACAGAGAGGATCACTGGCTGAATTCAATGCCCTGACAGGTGTATATAAATTCA